CTGCATACACTCTATGTAGTTGTCACACTCTTTATATTTACTCACATCTCAATCCTTCAGTCTCTGCTTGCCTAGCTTCTCCACTGGTGAACTCACTGGATCTTGCCACTTATAGAGTTCAGATCTATTATTTACCCCATTTCCTCAGATTGCCCAAACCCTAGATATCATACTTATCTTCCCAGATAGGCCATATCCTGATTCCTTGATAAGCATGTTGCAATTAGGAAAGAATTTAAGAAACTCCATTCTTTGGCTGAGACTTTGCTGTGACTCACCTTCCTTATCTTTTGACTGAGGATACAGTCATTGAACCATTCTTGCTGGGAGACTCATCTGCAACATTTGTCCTTTTTCTGATTACTGGTACTTTCACATAGCTCTTATATCACAGTTCCCTCTGACAGAGAATAGGTCTGTTACACCTGATTTGGGAAGCCAGGATCACGTTTTGTGCTTCCATTTATAAAACTTGGCTTCTGTATGTTGCCATTTCATGTTTTACACTAAAATCCTGAATCTTCCCCAAAGATCCATTTAAGCCCGGGAGCCTCACTTCCTTCTTAGGGATGGAGGCCAGCTCTTAACATCTAGCAACCCACCCTGATGCCTATTGTCAATGTTGGTTTTAGAGTATCACTACCACCTGGATTCTCTCATTGCTGTTTTCACCTACCTCTTGGCACATTTCATACTCCTTAGAAATTGAAAGCTTGTTAATTACCCCGTCATGCTTGAGACTGCATGATCCCTTGGCCACTGTATCTTGCCTTTCCAAACTCTGCCATTTTCAAAGCTTGTTTCCATGCCTGTCCAGTTCTGTGGGTTTTATGTCAGGTTCCACTACCACCATTTCTCACTTGACTGTCTTATTTTAAGTAAACAACTATACCATGCCAATTAGGCCTTAGATATGAGAACATATCTTGCTTCATATGCTGAAACACCAATCATATTTCATAGCAATTTTAATGTACTACTGATATAGAGACAATCTTTTTTTGAAATTTATCACAGAATAGAATCATTGAGAAAGCTCACTTTGCTCTTCCCTCCCACTGTTGTTTTGTCCTCCCCTTAGTCCATACATCTATGATTTCACCAAGTCACCCATCTCTGATATTGCCCACTGTCTGAGTATCAATGGCTACCATTCTTCACCAAAGTCAGAGATGTGTAGTTACTTGGTAGGCAAGGCCTTGTACTATTCTTGGAATGAAATTTGATTCAGAAGGATCTTTAGCCTTTATTCAAAACAGGAGAACTAGACACTGGATTTGCTTCCATATCTTGGCAGTTGTAGCTGAATGGATAAAGATGTGATGTGTGTATGTATGTGTATGCATATATATGATGGAATATTATTCAGCCATAAAAAGATCTTGGTATTTTTGACAATGTGGGTGGACCTAGAGGGTATTATGTTAAATGAAATAAGTTAGATAGAAAAAGACAAATGCATGTGATTTCACTTACATGTGGAATCTAAAAAACAAAACAAATGAATAAACAAACAAAAAGCAGAGTCAGAGAACAAACTGATGGTTGTCAAATGGGAAGGAGGTGGGAGATGAGCAAAATCAGTGAAGGGGAATGAGAGATAAAGGCTTCCAGTTATAGAATGAGTAAGTCATGAGAATAAAAGGTATAGCATAGGGAATATATCAATGGCACTGTAACAGCATTGTATGGTGACAGAAGGTAGCTACACTTGTGAGCACAGCATAACCTGGAGACTCATCAAATCAGTATGTTGTACACCTGAAACTAATGTAACGCTGTGTGTCAACAGTACTCAAAGCAAACAAAACAAAAGAAAACAAACAGATAAATAAAACAGGAGAATTGTTCATCTTCCTGAGTATCATCTCAGACTGTCTTGTTACTAAGCTGTCATTCTTTAAATTCAAGTCCATAGCCTTACATTTTTAGCTGACTAAGTTGCTGCATAAGTTGGAGGAAAGATATCCCAAAAAGAAAGCTATCTGGAGGAATACAGCAGTCTCCTATTCAAGACGCCCTGAGAATATGCTGGAAGAAGGGTTTGGAATATCAACCTCCTGAATGCTTCATTCTTTTGTACAAAGAATATTATTTTTCACAATTTCAAAAGATTAATGAAAATTACCTCAGGTGCATGTATTAGATTGACAGAGTCTGCAATATGTTTCAATTTGCCCAAATTATTATGTATATGTTATACACATATATAATAATTATATTTATTTATGTTATTTGTTTATAATATCTTATGTAAATCTCAATATTACAGAAGGATAAAGATAGGAAAATTTGTAAAACCTAATATTATTGAAATCTGGTACCTAAAATTATAAAAATATGTCTTAAGTTGATATAGAAGCAAACTCATATTAGAATTAACATGAAATTAGAAGCTTGATCCTCTCCTTATAATGGCTATGCATATATTGGCACCATAATTAGTTCTAAGTCATGGTTGGATTTTATAAAACAGGATTTGTGGGACTCATGTGTTGATAATACCTAGATATATCTGCAAATTATGTTCTATTATGAACTGCTTCTATTCTCTTCTACATTATATCTACTACATTATCTTCTAAAAGCACATTCAGGTAAATGCAATCTTAACTAAGTTTTGTCTAAATTAGGTGACTGTTGAGAAAATATATAATGAATTCATATATCATATATTTAGCATAATGAATTAAAGTTATAGGGTTTTCTAATTTATCAATATTTTAGGAGTTATAAAATTAATTGTATGGAATTTGTCAATGTATTGATATATTAGGAGTTGTGAAATTAAAAATATTTAATGGTGGCTACCATTTGTCAAGTGTTTAGCATGTATTAGGTATTTTATCTGTATGAACTTGGTTCATCCCAGAACCACACTATAAGGCAGATAATTATTTTACAGATGAAGAAACCAAGATTTAGAGAGATTAAAGATCATGACTAGATCACTGAGATAAGGAGGAAAGGACCTGGGACTTAGCCAGACTTGTATTTTTACATCATTTTTCACATTATTTACATCATTACCTCAAACACTCCAGACAGAGAACAAGGAATAAGGCTCATGACCACTTTTTAACATTGAGGACATCTATACATCACCATTTTGATATTGGAAATATGCAAACAAAATCCAATCCTGATTAAATATTCAGTGAAAGTGATTTATGATTCAATGCCAGTATCAAGTAGGTGAAATGAGAGTGTTCGAAGCTACATAAAGGTGTGAGGCAGAATAGCTACTGAGACTCTACACTAGATCTCATACAACTTCAACTCCAGATCGACATGTCAGCTGAGAATAGCACAGTTCACATGGACCTGCTCTGTTAGAAGCAGTAAGGACCACACCCCTACCAGCCATTGGAAGAGAACAGAATGGGAAGCACCAGAATGGGTCTGTTTGTCAAATCACCACACACCCCACCCCAGGGGAGTCTATGATAAAGACCAGTAAATGGAGGAAACACAATAACTTCTAATGTCTTCACCATTATCAAGGCCATTAAAAAGATGTAAAAAGCACAACTAACCACACTCATAAATAGTGAACTAGCCTTGGAGAAGGCAGTAAGAACTCAGTCTCATAAGTAACTAGATGTATGTTAATTTTATTGGAAGGAGAAGTAGACAAATATAAAACATTAATCACCATCTCAGGAGTGATTTATTTTGCTTTTATACCTGCAGAGAAAAGGAAAGCTGTTTGCTTTTGGAAGTCTTCCAGCTCCTGCTTCCTTCTTGATCATCAGGGGGCTGCATTCATACATCTTCCATATGTCAATAATAGATTAGCCCTGATGTGGCCATCCTCTGCTTTTGTGTGTGCAGCCAGAATCCACTGACTTTCATGGGCAGATGGTGGTGAGTTTGGTACTTGTGATAAAGCTTTATCACAAACAGTATGATGCAAGGACTGCCAGATGCTCAAGTTATTATTTCCCCCCTATTGTATATGAATGTTCCCCTTTCTTATTTTCTTTCCTCCTCCAGCTTTCATGAGATATAATTGACATATAACATTGCGTAAGTTTAAAGTGTGCAACATGATGATATGATATACATATATATTGTGAGCTGTTTACCACAATAAGGTTAGTTAACATATCCATCACTCCACATAGTTACCATTATTTTGTTTGTATGGTAAGAACTTTTGAAGTTCTATTTAAGATCTATTAGCAACTTTTAAGTATATAATACAGTATTTTTAACTATAGTCACCATGCTGTACATTAGATCCCCAGAACTTACTCATCTTATAATTGGAAGTTTGTACCCTTTGACCATCTTCACCCATTTCCCCACCCTCAACCCACTGCCACTGGCAACCACCAAATCTAACTTCTGTTTCTATGAATTTGATTTTATAAGTCTGAGTGTGTGTTTTGGGTTCCACATACAAGTGAGATCATATAGTAATTGTCTTTATCTTACTTTACATAATACTCTCTAAGTTCACCCATGCTGTTGTAAATGGCAAGATTTTCTTCTTTTTTATTGTTGAATAATATTTCATTATATATGATTATATCTATCTCTATATCTATATCTACATATAAAATTCATCCACTGATGTACACTTAGATTGTTTTCATGTCATGGCTATTATGAATAATGCTGCAATGAATATGGGGGTGCAGATTTCTTTTTGAGATAATAATTTCATTTCCTTTGGCTATATACCTAGACGTGGGGTTGCTGGATCATATGGTAATTCTATTTTTTATTTTTTTTTTTGAGGAACCTCCATATTCTTTCCCGTAGTGGCTACACCAATTTACATTTCCGCCAAGAGAGCACAGGGGTTCCCCTTTCTTCACAACCTTGCCAGCACTTGTTATCTCTTGTCATTTGATAATTATCATTCTAACAGATGTGAAGTGATATCTCATTTTGGTTTTGATTTGCACTTCTTTCTCTGATGATTAGTGATGTTGAGCAACTTTTTCATGTACCTGTTGGCCGTTTGTGTATCTTCTTTGGAATAATGTCTTAGCTTTGCGCAGTGACAGTTTCGTAGCCAATGAGGTTTATCCGAGGCGCGATTATTGCTAATTGGAATAATGTCTTTTCAAGTCCTTTGTGAATGGGCTCCCTTCTAAGAAAATGTGGCTTTCATCAAAAATATGACTTTCTGAATTTATTGAGTGACTGTATCCCAATTTAGGGAATCAGGTTCCCATTAAGACTGATTGAGAAGTTCATCTAATATATTGATAAAATATAACTTTCATAGCTTGATTTTTAGTCTACTTGAGTGTCTCTGTGTCAAGATTTTTAGAAATAAAAGAAAACTTTAAAACTTAAAATGAACTCAAGCTACCCAGGAAATAACAATTTTATCTATACAAAGACCACCATGAGAACCCCTAGCAAAATCCAACATACCAAACCTGAAACCAAGAAGAGGGCTGTTGGGTGCCTGGGTGGCTCAGTTGGTTAAGCAACTGCCTTCAGCTCAGGTCATGATCCTGGAGTCCCAGGATCGAGTCCCGCATCGGGCTCCCTGCTCAGCAGGGAGTCTGCTTCTCCCTCTGACCCTACCCCCTCTCATGCTCTCTCTATCTCATTCTCTCTCTCAAATAAATAAATAAAATCTTTAAAAAAAAAAAAAAAAAAGAAGAGGGCTGTGGAGAGGGTAGAGCTGGTGGGATGCCATTAGTTTGACTTTTTCTTTTACCAGAAAATACCCAACTACAAAATTTAAGCACAGGAAAAAAGATTTTACAAAGGGCTAATATAAGGTAATTGCCTGTTTTTAGAATTGTTTGGTCATAATTTTCAAAATGACCAACTCCAAAATACAATTTCTTGTTGCAGCCTTGCTGACGCTCATGTTTCTGATAGAAAGTTGTAAATTACATATATTCTGTAATGCATATTTTTAAGCTTGTACAAATGAGAATCTGGTCTCTTAAAATTTATCAGGACATTATAACATTTGTAACTATTTTATTACTGCTCAAGACCTTGTTGCAACTTGAAAGTTGTTGCATGTCCTTGAAGGAATTCCCTCCTAAGAAACTTCAGCAGAGGTTATTCTTACTTTGCTGGGTTCTGTGTTTTGGAAGAGGTCAAAAGTGATTCTGGAATAAACAGAATTGTTAGATTGAGGATCAGAATGGAACCATATAACTTATATTGATGGGTGTGCTGTTTTGTATAGTTTGTAAAATAGCTCTGAAAAAAAATTCCCAAAATTAATTCTAATCAAGGTTTAAGTAACAACCTTCATCGGAATAAGTAGTTAGTTCTCAAATATATGAACTTTTTTGAAGGACATTGCTCACTGGAAAACTGTTTCACTGTGTTTGTTAAAAATTCACTGACTTAAAAATCATTCAGTTTAGCAGGAGACCAAAACCTAGGCACTGAACTGAGGGTATCTAATTTTAACTTTCAAACTTCCCTAGCCTAGAATTAGTGATCTCTTGCTCAAGGATGGAGTCTATATCCTGGATTAATTTATATTACCCTGGAGACAAGTATTAGAAAGGAATATCTTTTGTGCTTATGGTTGCTAAACCACAACCCAAGTTAAAAGTAGTATTATCAGTATGCCAAAAATGATGCAGGATGGGGAATTACTACATGACGGTAAACTTTATCTTCTGTAAAAATGACACAAAACACTTTTTACTTCCCAGGAAAGGATGTAAGGTTTATTCTTATTGAAAATAAGTGAGAAAAATATTGTTATTTCCGTAACGGTGGAAATTGAAACACTTTAATACTTTTTAAAATGTCTACCCATTAACAAATTCTAAAGTGCTTTTAAAGAGCCATAGAGTTAGAATACCCTAAACCAAGCAAATTGAGGGGTAACAACAGCATCAAATAACACATACAAATCAGTATTTGTATGGATAAGCTAATGCCTGCTTTGCAGAAAATCTAGAAATGCTTAGATTCTTCACTCAAATGTGTTGGTTTCTTAAGCAAGATGTTTCATGTGACCTCTGGGAACCAGCACTCTTGGTCACACTGTGGTCCTTGCTGTAAGTGCCCTGTTCAGCTCTGGCTTGTCATGGAGGAGCTCCTGTGGGCTCTTAAGCCAAAAGCAGCATCGGGACTTGTATATTGTATATGGTGCTCATCATGTCTTAGAGGGATTTGCTGTTGTCGATGGTGCTAACACCTTGAACTTTCTCATGGAGATCCAACTTGGGGGAATAAGATTTACTTTTTACTCCTCCTTTTAGAATAACTCATTCTAGGATTGGCGTAAGAGCCCAAGAATGGGACTGAAGAGCAATTTGAGAAGATAATTGCAGTGTGCGGCATCACCTCCCTATCCTTTTCTTGGCCCAGTAGCCTTGCACTGAGTTTGTGGGCCCCGCTCTCTCTTTTCCAAGGATCAGTTACTTTCTGCCCCCAAAAGTGCTTCTCAGTCCCCTACGCAAATAACTCTTGACTGTTAAGTGCCACCAGTTATCCAGAGCAGACTTGTGCAATCCTATAGTGGGTAAAACTTACCCTGTACACGATAAGAGCCCTGATTTAGGGTTTCTGTTAATGAGCTCTCTCTTTACTTACCAGGGCTTTATAACATTGAGGTTGTTTACTATCTCTTATGAGATTTGCTCTAACCACTTAAGGATACAAGTTAGAAAAATTGTAGTAAAAATCATAATAACTCTCATAATAGCAAATTGCTAACATTTATTTAGTCCTACTATATGCCACACATTGTTCTACATTGTGTTTTGTGTGTGTGTGTGTGTTTTACATTGATTAACTCATTGAATCTCACAATAATCCTTCAAGATAGGTGCAATTATTTCTCCCATTTTACTGTGAGGACCCTGGGCATATAGAAGTTAAGTAACTTGCCAGAGGTCATACTGACTGGATTCAGAGCCTCAGCACCTGATGACTCACAAGTGAAATTTTGCCTTTGTTACATATTGTTGTCTATTCCTAATTTCAAAAACAATTAAATGGAATTAAGGAATATTTCTCTGACATTCAATGGTAAACCCCAGCAAGGCAAGACCAACCTGTTGTCTCTCTCCATGGTATCTCTGGCACCTAGTCTGTGCTTACTACAAAATAGATGAATGAATGATCTAAAAAACTTGTAACTGTTTTTTCTTATGTGACCTTCATTTGTTTTTTCCTTGTCTTTCCAATTTCTATGCTTGTTTTAACTTGAGCTAAAGAATTGCTGAACAGTGCCTGGATTAGAGTAGTTCAAAACTCCTCCTCAATAATTTAAATAGCTTTCTGTTGCCTTTAATTGCTTACAGAAGAATTGGGGCTGGTTTGGTTTAAGAGGGTGTTTGACTTACAGGATATCCTCAACAAGACTTCTCTGAGATGTATAATGAAGATTGTGCTGAAATATGGAGTCCATATTTAGATGGGTGAGCCACTGCTTCTGTGAGGTCCTTTACTGTATACTATTTTATTAATGATTCCTGGCAATAAAAATAATTTCAAAAAATAATCCTGGGTTCTATGTGCCAAAGCTGACAATATCAATAGATTGATGTAAGTTATATGTAATGTGTTCTATGCATTGGCTTACAAAACTTTCTAATGAGTAAATACATACATGGCAGCCATGTGAGTATGTGGCTCCTAAATCAAACCATGGCTGTGTGGTAGGAACTGCATTTTGGTTTTGGTCTTTGTAGTTGCTGAAAGTTGATTTGATTGTTAATCCTATAATTTTTCACATTTTCATATATCTGACCATCTTCAACTTCTTGGTTCTGAGACATCATGCTAACCATACTCATTAAAGGAATAATCAAATAGCTTCATTTCACACATGGCTTTCTTTTAAACTCTTTGAGAACACCCAGGAATTTAAAAACATCCACTCATAAATTATTCTTATGATTGGACCTTGTTCAATTCACTTAAACTTCATGTGCTCTCTTTTCCACTTGGAAATAAAAGGATAGTGTTGACCCACTTTCAGAGGAGCCAGTAAAAAATGGTTGAGCCTTCTTTATAGAGTACTTTGAAAATATATAATTGCTCTGGATATAGAAAAAACTAATCAGAAATTTTTAAAAAAATGTTTAAAAGCAGCTAGATGAAAAATCTGGAATGCAAACACAGACTTACTAATGCTGAATAAGGCAGAAGAACATGGGCCCATCAGTTTGACTAGTTTAAGTAGAGTCTATTTAACTGTAAAAATCAATCGAATCAGTGACAGAATCATTTCATTTTAGTGAGTGTCTAATTGCAGGGGAGCTCTGCAGCACAATGACGACCTCCTTCTGTTGTGCTCGGCTCAAGACCACCTTTAATGAAAGGTGACAATGGAGTAGATCCCTTGACTAAAACACTTTGATAAATAAATAAGTAGCTAGATGAATTTGCCAGCTTGAGGGGGGAGAGGGGGTAAAGGAACAAATGGAGCTGTAAGTCCTATAAGAATAGTTTTATCATTTTAAAAACTTTTATGGATTATTTAAAATGTGCTTCTCTAATTACAAGTTTATAATGTTTCATTTTGTTTAATAGCATTTGCTTTGATTGTATCATTATCATAGTTAGCAAGTTGCTGTAGTACCTACCTTACAGTATTTTTCTAGTAATGTGAAGGATAATTGAACCTATATGAATGTGTTTTCCTCTTCAGTCCCTAGAAAGAGACCATAATAGTCATAACCTGGAGAAGTTTCATTTGCAGCAAATTTATATTTCATTGTCCCTTACCGACTTACATTTAGGGCTTATTTACTAACAGTTTAATTTTGCACATTCACCCATTCTAATTGCCCTCTCACAAAGTTTAATAATCACGTTCAATTTTGGCAGGATAGCAATAGGAAGTAAATTTTCCAATTTTTGCACCTTTTGGGTAGATCCACAGCATTGGTAGAGAAAATTCAAAAAGATTTCAGTATTAACATATGCCAAAATTTTTGGGAAACCTCTGATATTACCTCACACCCTAGTCCTCCATCTCTGATTTCAGAAGGCATAAATTGGGGGACCCTCACCCTCTTTCTTGCTTTGCATGGTCCCCTGGGCCTAATGTCCATTTATCTTTTCCTAGGTTGATTTGAGAGTGAACAAAAATGTCATTATAGCACATGTCAAGCAGGGGCTCAGAACCAGTTATGTGAATGTTTTGTTTTTCCTGTACTTTGTTTTTACTCATGTAT